CACAAGATGACCCGAAAATCATCCGAGCCTATGCCAATATCCTGGGATCGCTGATGCAGCCGACTGACCGTCCTCCCGTGGACTATCTCAACATGCATGAGTTCACCTCATCCATAGCGATCAACATGCTTACCCTGAACCATGGAAACCTCACAAGGAATCCAAAGTTGGACAACAGGGAGGTGTACAACATGCCGATGAAGGATCGACCGATCGTCAAGATGATGATGCAGAACAGTGCACACATCTTATGCCTGAATGAATGAAGCAGACGCATTCTTCAGTCCGAATGATGAGAAATCCAGGGAGCTCATCAAGACGTTCATCCGATACGGTTACAAGGGCATCGTGATCAAGCAATGGTCATCCAGACCGATCGCATGCTTTGTCCGCGGCGGACCCTCTGCACGAGTGGAACTTCTGGCAAGACACATTTCCACCTGGAGCCAGAATTGGGGATCCACATTCGGAATGTTCAGATGTTTCTTCGGAACTAAAGGAGATGGCACTGATCCCGAATACGAAATTCCGACCTCGGATTGCTTGGCAGCCACAGGAACATCCATGTTTACTGAACCCAAGAAGTACATTGGATCGAGATTGCCAGCACGCACCATTGTCCAAGGACATGGCCGAGACAAGGAGATCGTCGTTCTCCACATCGAGCAGAGTGATGAGTTTCGTGGCATGATCCCGAAATCATCCGACAAGTCATTCCACGAGTATGACGACCGCCACATAACGAGGGCAGATCTACCATTCGCAACTATTGGAGTCTTCCACATCCATCCTTCACTTAGCCATGGAGCAGCAAAGGAAGATCTTCAGAATGAAATCATGCCGCTCGTGACCTTGTACCGATGCGATGCGATCACCGGAGACGCCAACAAATCAGCGAACACCTACAGCAAACTCCAGCATGTCTACAATCCGACCAACGGTCTCGTGAACATCCTCATGAGAGCATATCAGAGACTGTGGAGTGCAACGAAGAATTTGCCACTCGTGGACAGAATGGAGTATGCAATGGAGACTTCGTGCACCCTGAGGTCCATTGTCCGTCATCACCTGCACATGAAATGCGGATCAGGATATGATCGAACATTCGCAGATGTGATGATGACTATCGTATTTCAGTGCATTGGGAAATGGGGTCTGAAAATCGCCACACGCTTCTAAGCCTCTAAGCCCCTTGAAGCACACAAGCCTCTAAGCCTCTAAGCCTCTAAGCCTCTAAGCCTCTAAGCTTGTAAGCCTTTGCAGTCCTTGCGCCTCTAGGCCTGCGCGCTCCTAAGCCTCTAAGCCTCTAAGCCTCCAAGCCTTCCAGCCTCCACGCCCCTAAGCCTCTAAGCCTCTAAGCCTCCAAGCCTTCCAGCCTCCGCGCACCGAAGCCTCTAAGCCTCTAAGCCTCCAAGCCTTCCAGCCTCCACGGCCCTAAGCCTCTAAGCCTCTAAGCCTCCAAACGCTTAGAGGCTTAGGCTCTTAGAGGCTTAGGCGCTCAGAGGCTTTGGCGCTTAGCGGCTTCGGCGCTCAGCGGCTTCGGCGCCTAGCAGCTTCGGCGCTTAGCGGCTTAGGCGCTTAGAGGCCTAGGCGCTTGGAGGCAAAGGCGCTTAAAGGCTTAGGCGCTTAGAGGCTTAGGCGCTTAGCGGCTTAGGCGCTTAGAGGCTTAGGCGCTTAGAGGCTTCGGTGCTTGGCGGCTTAGGCGCTTAGAGGCTTAGGCGCTTAACAGCTTCGGTGCTTAGCGGCTTAGGCGCTTAGAGGCTTAGAGGCTTAGGCGCTTAGAGGCTTAGGCGCTTAGAGGCTTAGGCGCTTAGAGGCTTAGGCGCTTAGAGGCTCAGGCGCTTAGAGGCTTGGGCTCTTAGCGGCTTAGGCGCTTAGAGAGGCGCTTAGAGAGGCTTCGGTGCTTAGCAGCTTAGGCGCTTAGAGGCTTAGGCGCTTTTCAGCTTCGGTGCTTAGCGGCTTAGGCGCTTAGAGGCTTAGAGGCTTAGGCGCTTAGAGGCCTAGGCGCTTAGAGGCTTAGGCGCTTAGAGGCTTAGGCGCTCCGAGGCTTAGGCGCTTGGAGGGGCACTTAGAGGTTGTGCCGAGCGACGTGGCTGACCAAGTGCTAAAGGTTTAAGCGGGAATCCACCGGATTTCCGTCTAATCTCCCTCACAATCAAGCTGAAACATGTTCGCCCAAAGGGCCACACTCATGTAGATTTTCTAGTGTTGGTTTGTTTTACGCGTTTGCCTGGAAAATCGTTATTTGTTGATTTCGGGTTATCGAGGGTTTGCACCCCAGAGCCTGCAAACTCGCCGCATATACTCCCAAGGACAGGAAGTCATCAGGGGCATGGGCTGATCAATTAGACTTGCGCCAAATGCCTTTTCTTTGCTTGGCGCCAGCGGGTGTATGGCTGGCGGTGGATTGGCCTGTCCTGCAGACGCAAAGCTGAGCCGGGCCACGCTTGCAACCCTTGCAGAAAATAGGTCGAGGCCAAAATCGTTACCTGTTCACTCAAGAAAAGAAAGGACACCACTCCCAATAGAATTTGAAGCAGCCCAGTCCCGAGCGTCCGACAAAGGCGCATCCACAGGCTCTCAACAACTACAGCAAGGCTACCACTACGTAAAGAAAGCAACAAAGAAAGCGAAGGGCTTTTAGCAACTATGGTAAATCGCGCCTTCCTTTGCTCCACCCAGTAAAGGAAACTGCTGGAAACTCGTCGGGTCCCAGAAGCAAACTGCCCAGGCGTTCCTTCAAACCTGAGAGAAATCGAAGGAGCTTGTGCCAAGCGTTAAAGAGCGCAACAAAGAAAGAAGAGGGCGACAGCAGTTCGCCTCCGCCAACGCCCTACGACTCACGCAACAGACCTCTAGCATGATCCCAAACAAAAGGTCGTGCGTATTTAGGGCCAAGCCATCCCAATACCCCTGGGAACTTGTTGGGTCACAGAAAGCAAGCTAGCTGCCAGGTGTTCTTTCAAACGAAACAATGACACCCCCAGGAGAAATCCCAGGAGCCCGCACCAAGCTCCGATGGAACAAATCGACAGAAGCGGACTTGAAGAAAGCACGCGACACACAACATTTTCGCCACACAGGTAGGTGACGACACAGCACATGGGCTCACTATAGCTTCTTTGCTCAAATGTGTGAACAAAACGTTCCGGGGTGTTGTACACATGGTTGGCTGGTTAAACTGGCACCGACCTCTGACGTCCTGAGGCGGTCTCTTTTTAAAGCCTCGCGTGCACGGGCGTCCGGCGCGCAATGGCGTGGCCCGTCCTGCAGTCGCAAAGCTGACCCCGAGCCACACGATAAAACTGTGCTCGCGGAAGCCGTTAGGCAAACTAAGCAAGCGGTCGCCCCAGAGGCGTCTCGTCAAAAAACGCGTCTCCCAAACAGCAGCCAAAACATTCGCCGAAAGCGCGAACAAAGCGAAAGACAGCTGTATAAGCAGAGCAACTTGTGATGCCCCTGTTGGAAAAACGCCCCCTGGCAAAGCAGCAACAGACTTATGGCAGGACTCCTCTCTCGGTACTGCCCCCCCTCAGTTGGGCCAGACAGACGCAAAATGTCGTCTCCCCAAAAAATCTGCAGTAGTCTGCTCTCGCACCGGCGCTTTTGAAGGCTTTGCCCGTGGCGTTTCTCACTGCGAAGGGCCGCTTTGGGAGTATTCTCACGACTGCGAACAGGCGTGGCCACCGCCCCCCGGTGGCAGGCAAAATGACAGCGCAGACTTGCCAGAGCTGGCACGGATGAGGAGTCAGACGTGTCTAGCAACAAAGGAGGCTCTGAAGATGAAGTGGAAAATAGCTACATCCCAAAGCAGCAATCTGCCCCCTCATGTGCACGGTTAGTCACCACCAAAGGTCTCATGGCAGGGTATTCTCGTAATTGAGGGCAATTACGGCCCCCCGCCCCAGCGGCGGGCAAAATGACAAGCAGACACAGCGGAACTAGCGGCAAGTGAGGAGTGGGTTGCTTTCAGAAACGACAAAAGAACCTTGCGGACAAAGCTGTTAGCCTATGGCCTGTTAGCCGTCTCAAAAAAGCAAGCCGTGTCGGACTCGAGCCTCTGCGTAGACGAAACGAAGCTGGCGGCGGCTCAGGAGATGCTCAGGAGAAGCAGTCCAGCGTCACGCGGAGGCGCTTTCTCTCTCGCTCGGCCTCCGGGTCGTCTTGCACGCTGCGCAGGGAAGCGCGGGCCCAGGACTTCAGAGGCCTGCCCTTCTTTTTGCGCGATCCCGTGGGCTCTTCGCCGCTGACGTCCTTAGAGGCCAGGAGGCCCTTTTCCACGAGCTCGCCAGCAACTTCTGCAATGACCGCCTCTGTCTTGACTTGCGAAAAGGCCTCTTTGTTGCGAATGTTCATGCGGATGTCTTTCTGCGTGAAGGTCTGGCTGAAGCGATCGTTGGTGAGTAGCTCCACCTTCAGCTTGTCCTTCGGAGGCAACTCCGCAAGCCCTCCGGACGACTCTCGCGCCAGGTCCGCCGCGTTACTGTTCGTGTTCTTGTCCGACAGCTGCGCTGCAAGCGCAGTACGCCAGTAGTAGTAGTAGGCAAAGTGGAGCTCGATCTGTCGGAGCCACCAGTGCACGGCCATGATGAACTCCCAAAGGTCGGCGCAGCCTGGGTCCGAGCGAAGCAAGAGGCACAGGCAGCAGCGCAGGGCATTACACGATATTTCTCACTGCAGGCAAGCGGCGCTATGTCTCCCACAGCCTCGCTGGTTGAAGAGAAGTACTGACACTTCCGCATGTTCAACCAGGCCGCGCGCAAGCAGTCCGAGTGGCAGGGCACGCGGTACTGGACAGCATCCCCCGCATTGCTGGCATCATCCCGATTGATGCGGATGATGTGGGGGGAGGGGGGAACTGGAACAAGTATGCCCAGCCTGGCAAGGCCACCCCAACCTCAAGATCCAAATCAGCATTTGTTTTGGGGCGGAAGCGGGGAGCCATTCATGCTCAACAGCTCACGGACTTTGTTTTCTCGGAGAGCTCGATGCAAGCCGAGGCCTAAAGGAGGAGACCCAGGGGGAGCAGGACTCGTTGCGGGAGCTGCGGGACCAGGAGACCCAGGGGGAGCAGGACTCGTTGCGGGAGCTGCGGGACCAGGCGGAGGCCAAGGATCAGCTGGTGCAGGACATCCTCAGGGCCTTAGGCTGGGGCAGTCCGGGCATTTGGGCACGGGGGCACCCGCCGGGGGTGCCGGGACCGGGCACATAGGACCACAATTACTCCCCCTTTGAGTTGGCAATTGAATCGTTGCGCCGCCGCTGATGGAGTGCGATGTTTGTGATGCCGGGGAAGCTTGCGCAATTCTTGGTTGGCCATTGGTCAGTGTGGCTGGCTTCTTGCTTTGTGCCACCCAACAGTGGAGGCTATCAAGCAGTCGGGTGCGCAACGCAGCCCCTGCGCAGGTTCGAATGATGTCCCTGAAGTGGAGCAGGAAGAAGCGCCAGAAGGTGCTTTCAGGGAGTTTGGACGTTTGGGTGTGCTGAGGTTTCGAGCATTCAGGGTCCGTAAGTCTGGAAATGGTTGCTCGAACTGCAGCGCTGTTGACTTATCGACTTGCTCCTTCGCTCGCAGATTTGAAGAGGTGTAAACAGTTTCGTCAAGAGTTGCTGCGAGAGAGAATGACGATGACTCGGTGCTTTGAGATGTGTGTGTGAAGTCAACAAGGAGGCAAGTTGTTTTGCCAAGGCTCGCCAGAGGTTGCTGAAGCGGAGCGAGAGCAGGCAGCAGAAGCTTCAGCCGCACCAAGGGAAGAGAAGGAAGGAGAGACGCCAGGCTCTGCAGAGGGATGGGGACCTGGAGGCTGGATGTGCCTTTGGATCTGTATTGCCCAGGTTGAGTAGGCTGATTGCCTTCCCTAGATACATAGCGGACAGTTTGGACGTGCTGGATGAGATTGTTTTCATGTTGCAAGGCTTTGCGACGCACAGGTGTTGGACACCCATGTGGAAGCAGACCTGGCAGGTGCAGCAGAGCCCGAAGCAGAGGTTGAAGCAGAGGACAAAGGCGCCATGGCTGACAGGGAAGGATGCCAAGACTTGGCGACTGCATATTGAGCGCTCATAACTCGACTTTCCGAACTCCCCACCCCCCCCCCCCCACTAGCTTTTCGTTGGAGGCTGCTTGTGGCTGATGTGACGATACTTGTAGGTGCCTTTTTTCCTCATAGCAGGGCAGTAGACAAGCTGTTCTTGCCAAGGCTCGCCAGATGTTCCTGAAGTGGAGCGGGACGAAGCAGCAGAAGCTTCAGCCGCGCCAAGGGAAGCGAAGGAGGAAGAGACGCCAGGCTGAGCTGAGGGAAAGTCAAACTTAACCCACCCTGAGTCCAATGCAATTGTTCGAGAATGAGCCACACGTGGTGTTTGAATTTGATCCTCTTTCCCTGAAGGACGAGGGATTGGAGGGTGGATGGGCCTTTGGTGCCGTGGTCTCTGTTTATTGTTGAGGTTGAGTGGGCTGTATGTTCGGATGAGCGCAGCTTTGGATGTGTTTGAATCACGCTTTGGCGAGTTTCGCTCGGGCTCTGGAGACCTGGCAGGCGCAGCAGAGCCCGAAGCAGAGGTCGAAGCAGAGATCAAAGGCGCCATGGCTGACAGGGGAAGGATGCCAAAACTTGGCGACTGCATATTGAGCGCTCATAACTCGACTTACCGAACTCCCCCCCCTGTGTTGCTTTTGGTTACACCAATTGACATTTCAACACACGCCGTTACTCATTTTGGCTCAAGGCCCTTCACGTCATTTGTACAGTCATTCGACACATGGTACAGTGATAAAAGGCTTGCAGACCGCTTCACAGGATTCAGAGTCAACACAAGCCACCAGGAACAATCCATCCTCCAATCCTCCATACTGGCATGTTGGACTCTCTCCGGAATAGATCCAGGGACCAAATCAGATTACCAGTTCCCTTCTGGGATAGGCACCCCGCTGGCAGTGGGCCTCAATATGTGGTAGGAGCAGATTTTCCGCGGAGATCCAAGGGAAGATGTCATCCGATGGAGAAGGCTTCATGGAAGCCTATTCAAGTATGGCCAAACCACAAGGCTATACGGAGGAAACACTCAATTTATCGATGACCGCCAAGCAGCCGCCGTCGTACGACGGAAAAGTCAGCTGGTTTAGGTATGCAGAACTCGTGGACGACTGGGTGACAATCACTACGGTGGAAGCACCCAAGAGAGGACCTCTGCTCAAAAGCAGACTCACAGGAGAGGCCTACATGTACAAGGCAGTCCTCCAAAATGACCTTTTGCAAGATCCTGATGAAGGAGTCAACTACTTCAAGAACACGCTGAAGAAGTACTTTTTGAAAGGTGCGACCAACGTGTATCTGTACAGGCTCCTCAGTTTCTTCAATCATAGAAGGCAGAACCAAGAGTTCCTCATTTTTACCTCAAAATTCAAAATCGAAGGCAGCATGGATGGACTTGATGCCCGTTTTCACGGCACAGTCCCCATCATTTCGACAGTCTGTACAGGACGCAAATGCAAGAACAATTGCTCGACATCAGCAAGCAGCCGGTGTTCGAGCACCGCCTCCAGTTCTGCTCAATGAGGAAGATCCAACAGTCCTCAGACAGTATATCACGGGAATGCAGGACAGACAGCAGGACGCATTTTTCTTCGGGGATAATCTCATTGCGCAGTTTTTCATCACACAAAGTGAATTGTCAGATCAGCAGAGAGAAAGACTGACAAGTGCAATGTCATTGAGAAACATTTCACTAGAGAATTACTCCTATGAGATGCTGAAGACGCATGACCGTGAACTCTTCATCACGACCAGGACATCCATTCAAGATCCATCCATCCGACCTCAAGGAGGCAACCGAAGCAACACATTCTTCATCATCGAACAAGGTGAATACGAAGGAGAAGAAGGCTTCTGGGTTGAGGATGAAGAAGGACTTGAAGGATTCATGTCAAACAACGATGAAGAGACATTCTGGGTCCTCGAGGAGAACGATGCGTTCATAGCAAGAAAAGTGTCAGGGCGGAATTTCAGATTCAAGAAGAGAAAAGGAAAAGGAAAATCAGGAAACAAAAAGGGCAGTCACCAACAAGGTGGCTTTAAACCCTTCAGACAAAGTGGTTCTGGCGGGAAGGCCAATATGGCCAATGAGAACTATGATCCCTACGACCAGGCATATTGGGGAAAAGGCAAAGGAAAGAAGGGAAAGAAAGGAAAATCAAAATTCCAATATCCCTATGATGGAAACAAGGGTTATCCACCCTATGAGAATGGCAAAGAAAAGGCGGACATGACAAAGATCCAAGACGTTTCGCAGAGAAGACGGAGGAGCCGCCATGCAGCAGACTGCACCATTCACAGAGCCTACCTATGCCGGTTGGACAGACCAAGATTGGGATCAATCATGGACATGGAACGAACAAGGCTGGTACTCATCCCATGAGACATCCAGCACAGGACAAGCGCGAATGGCATTCCATGACGCATATGAGCATCATGGGAAAGAGGCCATCCACGGGAAGCTGATTCAATCAGGCACAGTTTCAGAACACAATTTGTCCGTCGCAACAAATCACAGCCTTTTGGCAACAATCCGACCTATGCGATCCTGGACAACGGATGCACCAGATCCATGGGCAGCTGGCATGCAATCCAGCGTTTTACTCAGGCCATCGAACCAATGAAGGACATAGTCTCCTATCAGTACATCCCGGCCGAGACCAAGTTCACTTTTGCAAATGGAGAGACCGCCAGGGTAAATTGGACCCTGCAGCTTCGATATCACACAACTCCTCCATGCAGTACCAACATCGACGTCCTTGAGCAAGGAACCGTACCGATCCTTCTCAGCATCAGTCAGATGCGGAACCTCTACATGACCATCGAGCACACACCTCAATGTGACAAGATCACATGCAAGGCTTTTGGCATGAACCGTCAAGCAGTTCCAGTATCCGGTACAGGACATGCACTCGTCGATCTTGCTGGAGTTGCAAGAGTGAGGGCACATGGAGAAATTGCTCACAAGGGCCTCACCAACTACGTCTATGATGATGACAACAGCATCAAGTTCCCCTCCTAAGAGTGAAACTGTTTGTGCAGCAAAATCATCCGAGACGAAGGAGGACCTAGCAACTCCTAAAATCATTGGGTCTCAGAAGCAGGACCATTGGATCCTTGACAAGAAGAACAAGCAGCTCATTCGTGTGCACATCACGCCTCGAAAGGCACTGTTCACACCAAATGGAGCCAAGGAATGTCCAATCAATCCTGATAACATTAGCCGAGAGCGTACTACGGAAATCATTGATGCATCCGAAGGTGGAGATCCAGACATCTTAGAAGACAGTTGGAGACTTACATCCCAGGCAAACAAACCAATGATTAACCTGTGGATAGGTAAGACCATTTTCACCTTCGCGGACAATTCGCTTAAGGACGAAGAAGCAGGATCAGGATCGGCAGCAGACAGGATCATCGACAAGAAGGGCCGGTCGACCATTGAGCCAGATCCTTTCGCACCATCCTCAGAAGAACCAACAACGCTTCCGCTTGCACTTTGAAGAAGCTCCACCTCCAGCATCACCACATGACAACAGATCAATTTCGATTTAGAACTCGCTCACTTCATTTGCCGAAATCAACATTCGATTTATTTGACAAAATCCGAAGTGGATGGAGCAACAACATTGCTCACTGCAGAGGCAGTGACAACTACGCAAGAAGTCGAGAACATCACTGTCCTCAGGAACTATTTTGACCAGTACCACTTGCAGCCCAAATCAGTTGTCGCAGATCAAGCCTTCATGACGGAGACATGGGAACATTTCTATCAATCCCTTGACATCACACCGATATCATTGGGACCGAATACACCATGGCCAAATCGAGCTGAAGCTGCAGTTCGGCTCCTGAAGGCACAACTCAAGATCATACTCAATTCCATCAAGGCAGGCACAGCACCTGCCACACTGAAGAAAGTGACATATAGACAGCTGGTGAAGTGTAACACCATTGGAGCTCGCGTTCGGAAGATGACCAGCAGATCTCACCCAACTAGATGTCGCAACACCAACTCAGTTGACGATTAACAGGAATGAGGCGGAGATGACAGCCATCCAGATCAAGCAGCTGTGCAAGCAAGCATTCCAAGAAGCGCGTCAATCCGAAGACATCCGACGAGACCTTGCTCAAAATCTCCGAATGAGTTCTAAGCCTCTACAGGTGAAGGACAAGGTATTTTACTGGCAGGAAGACAAATCTAAGATCCGTTCCGATGGAAGCAAGGCAGGAATATGGCTAACATTTCCATTGAAGGAGCAATGGTAGGACTTGATCTTGGGACTCGACTCATCAAGGTTAACATGACGAAGGTCAGAAAGGATGAAACCATCCCTTTGGGATCCGTTCCGATGGAAGCAAGGCAGGAATATGGCTAACATTTCCATTGAAGGAGCAATGGTAGGACTTGATCTTGGGACTCGACTCATCAAGGTTAACATGACGAAGGTCAGAAAGGATGAAACCATCCCTTTGGGGAAACCTGGAATTGATCTTCTATTGCAAGAAGAGCGAGAATCCCAACCCGGCTCCTCTGCCGATACCAAGAAGAAGGAGTTATCCGCACCAGCTCCTAAGCCAAAATCCTCCGTGCCATTACGCATCGCGGGAAAGACAACTCCCAAGCCTGCAGCACCTCATCCGGCAGAGGACATGTTCGTCGAGGACCTCACATCCGTTCCTGAACAAGCGCACTGGAATTGTGTACGTAAAGGAAAGATCCACGTTCTCGAGATCTTTGCAGGAAGTGCCAGATTCAGTCAATGCTGTGCACTCTCAGGTCTTAAGGTTGGGACTCCCGTAGACATCCGCACCGGATTCGACGTAATGACATCCAAGGGACGACACATGGTCATGGAGATCATCAGAGAGCAAGCACCTGATGTAATCCT